CCCAAAGCATGATCACTGGTAATGGATTTTGGAAGTTGTAGTCCAAGATAGTTTGCAGATCAAAATTGCTCACAAGAAATCTGAACTCCTCCATAGAGTTTTTGTTATTTGTCCAATATGTACTACAAGTCTCCATGTATCTTGGGGTTGACAACTTGTGGCCCTTCAAATATTGTTAAACTGCAACTCCCAGCATTCCCCACCACTGCCTCTACTGGCTATAGCTGGTGGCAGCTGCTCTACAAAAACATCTGGAAGGTCTGAAGTTGCCCACTCTTCTATTTGTGTTCAACAGTGAGAACCTGCTGTGTTCCTGTAACTTTTAACAGCCTAATACACAAACTTTTCTCTATATAGGCTTTTGTAAATGTAGAAGAGCAAGGCTGTGAAAACAAAGAACAACCCCACTCAGAGCTGGCATTTTCAGAAGTAAAACCAATCAAAATGGTTTACACAAGAATTATAGTAAATCACATTACAAGCAGAGCAGTGACTAATATTTTAGTCCATCTTTACCACATTAAAAGGCTGCTAGGGAGCTCACAAGCAGAAAAGATCCTTTAATAACTCTTTCATTATGCACAGTTAATATATGAGTCATCTACCCCCAACTGGGAGAAATTAAATTTCCAAATTCTTTTTTTAATTACTCCTAGAGATTCATATTTTTCACACTGTGGGACTAATAGATTGATAATTGATCCCTCCCCACTCCCCCTTTTGCTCCAAGGTTTTGTTTGGAGTTTGTATTTACAAAACCATTGTATAAATTAAGTTTGATTTTTAAAAGAATCTATGAAAGTCACTTTTTCTGCCTTTGCTGTAATTACTGTGAACCATTTTCATGTAGTTTGGATTAAAAAAATACATGCACATAGTGGGCTTGTCCCTAGAAAATTATGACTGGCTGAGAAAGAACAGCAATAGTCCCCCTCCTCCAAATTACCCGTATTACTAAAAATCATGTCGTAGGACGTTATCACATGGGGGCAAATCTGCTGGTTAATCCACACAAA